GGAGGAGGAGGAGGAGGAGGAGGAGGAGGAGGAGGGAGAAGAAGAGAGAGGGCGCGTGAGGGTAGAGAGTAGGTACTAGAGGGTTAGACTGACTTCCATTATTGTTGTTTGTGTCTGTCCGGTGAATTGAGGTTTACTGGGTGTAGCTCTTCCAGTTTCTGGATGGATTGATGTGATATCAGGTGGGTGGTGTTGGTGGTGTTGATGTGCGCTGGGTGGCAGTCCGTACTCGTAGCGCGCCGGTCGGTCGACTCAGCAGCTTGTTCGCGGCATCTTGCGAGATGTATAGAGATTATGCATGGATGAGAATGGCGGTATGGCTTGATTGATCGGTGGGTGCAACTGTCTGTGTTGTTATGAAAGTGGAATGATGTCGACTGCTGTAAGTTCCGTCAGGCTCGTGCTTGTCCGTCATACCGAGGCATCGCGTTGCATGTGATTGTATGTACTGTAGTACCTCGAGCACGTACTGACTGCCACCACTGCCAGTCTATTTGTTTATGAACTCGAACTTTTTTCAACCTCACGACCGCAATTCTGGATTGACGCCTAACAATTGCATTTTAGATTGGTACAACTTGAATGGCTAAGGTTCGGCACCAACTCGTCGAAGTAGCAGCTTGTCCAATAGTGGTACTGGTACACTCATTGTGTTATTTGAAAATAGTCGTCCACACAGGTTGACTTTTTGTCTATTCATCTTCAATGGCCGGTATCACCCCACTCAACCAATTGCTTTTACGCGCCGTAGTATCTGTCAACAGCGGCATTCCTTGCGGGCGTCTTCTAACCCAAGCGGTTTTTCATCATTGCTCCGTCTTCTTGACTTGGCCCTTGTTGACTACAAACGCCTCCAGGGTAGCAATGGCCGACCATAATCGATTTTGGGCCTCCGGGAAGACCAACGACCTCTCGCCGTAAAACACCTCGTCACTCACTTCTTCCGGATGGCGAGGAAGGCAGTGCATGAACTTCCAGTCCTCGGCGGCGCCACCCTTCCTAGCAAGTTCCTCCGTAACCTGGTACCCTTCAAAAGCCAGGATTCGCTTCGCTTTTTCGTCTTCTTGACCCATAGAGATCCAAGTGTCCGTGACAATGACATTGGCGCCCTTGACGGCTTCTTCGGGGCTGTTTGTTTCGAACAAGACACCGGATCCGGAAGCGTCGATTTCCTTCTTGATCTTGGCGGGGATTTCGTACCCACGAGGCGTGGCCACGGCCATCTCGATCCCCAGCTTCCGTGCACCAATACACATGTCGAACAAGACATTGTTAGCGTCGCCGACCCATGCGATCCGCAAACCCTTCAATTTCTCGGCGGGAGTATTAAACGTTTGTGTTAATGTCGCAAAGTCCGCAATAATTTGCATCGGGTGGTATGTATCGCAGAGGGCGTTGATTACGGGGACAGACGAGTCTTTGGCCAGGTTGGCAATGTCCGAGTGCGGACCGACTCGTGCCACGATGCCCGTCACCATGCTAGATATCACTACCGACGTATCGTACAGTGACTCGTTGACTCCCAGCTGGATGTCGTCCTTCCCTAAAAACATTGGGTGTCCGCCCATAGCCACCACTGCGCTTTCGGTCGAAACCCGCGTCCGCGTCGACCGTTTAGAGAATAGCAGGGCGATCGTCTGGTTGGAGAGCCCGTTGCGCAGTGACCATGTCGAAGGCAGCTTGGAGTTCTTGTGTGCCGTAGCATTGTTCACCAAGGTGGATAACTCTGTTGGTGTCAGGTTGGAGATGGAGAGTAGGTGTCGAGGAGAGGAAGCTCTGGAGGTGGAGAGAGGACGGACGTGTTGTAGAGGACGGAGGAGGGAGCGTAGGGAAGCCATGGTCGCCGAGGGGCCGAAGCCGCTGCAATGGTTCTATAAACACGGATTGGGTTCTTGCTGGTACTGAGCCGGTAAAAGGACTGTATGCATCGCCGCCGATGTCGAGCTGATATCCAGAGGTGTTCTGCAGTGAGTCACCGCAGGAAATTTGTTCTGCACAGAGTAGTAGAGAGCGAAGTGCCCGCATCTCATGAGGTGCTTTCTAAAGTCACACTTCGGAGCTGGCCTTCTCAGGCTTGAAAATTGGGGATCCTGCGCCCAATCATGAGACGCCGATAAGCTTTCCCCGGACAAACTGTAGCTACAGCGCTGATCACCATTGGACTGACTATCGGTTGCGGTGGAGGAGCCACAGCCTCGTCATTTACACGGCACGAAAACATTTCGATTTGACAATTTTACTATTATTTGAGTCTTAGTATTCCATACTGTCTGTCTACAAAACAACCATTATATGGCCAGAGACCTTCTTGGGCGAAATATCTTGTTGTTGGATGGTGGACTGGGGACGACGCTTGAAGACGAACATGGTGTCCGATTCTCTGTCAAAACACCGCTGTGGTCGTCCCATCTTCTAGTGGAAAACCCATCGCTGCTCCGGGTCGTTCAACGGGACTTTGCAAATGCAGGAGCGGACATAATTCTCACTGCTACGTACCAGGCAAGCTTTGAGGGGTTCAGAAACACCAAAACACAAAACGATGTTGGGATAGCGGCCGACGATGCGAAAAAGTACATGCTCTCCGCTGTATCCATTGCCCGGGATGCCTTCAATGGCCGGTCGGGTTTGGTTGCCTTGAGTCTCGGAGCATACGGCGCAACCATGGTGCCTAGCACTGAATACAGCGGAGAGTATGGACCCATGAACGAAGACGATCTCTTCAAGTTTCACATGGACCGGATTTCCATCTTCACATGCGACAAACCGGTATGGGCGGATATCGACCTTGTTGCATTCGAGACTCTGCCGAGACTCGACGAGGTCAGGGTAGCTAGGAAGGTCATGCGGACCATTACCGACAAGGACTACTGGATTTCTTGTGTCTTCCCAAACAACGACGACAGACTACCTGACGGCACAGAGGTCGAGGATCTGGTCAGAACCATGCTTCACGGCGAACGCAGACCATTTGCCATCGGCCTCAACTGTACTAAGGTTCATAAAGTCCCGGGCTTGATCCGAAGGTTCGAAGAGGCCGCTCAATCTCTGTCGATAAAGCTGCCCAGATTGGTCATCTATCCTGATGGCGCTGGCACCAAGGTCTACGACACTCAGTTACAGCAATGGGTGGGAGAGGACCAGGACGCCAAAGCCTGGGATCAACAGATTTTTGAGATCGTGAGTGATGTGCAGACGAGAGGCGCTTGGGAGGGTGTCATTGTTGGAGGCTGCTGTAAGACCACCCCGGAGCATATTCAAAAGTTGGGAAAGAGACTCGATGTCCTTCAACGTTGATATATACTGTAAATGCAATAATGAACGCGGGCCAATATCCCACATTATGTCCATGATATCACCGCTCTTAGTGGGCGATCTAGGAGCAGTATCCTTAGCCATTCACACCGAAGGTGCCTGCCTTAGGCGGCCTCAGTCTCAGTTGTTTAGGCGGCAGTCTGCAGGGCTGGGGAGGCGTCTTCAGCGGTTCCGCCAATCCCGCCACTTGGTGTTAGGCGTTCCAAGACCCAGACAAGCCCAACAAGTCATTAGCCTCCAGGGGTGCTTCGGGTGACCCAACAGCAACAAATCCAGGTCCCGTCACTCCCACTTTTGCCCTGTTCCTGGCGTTGCACTGCATCCAGGGTCCGTCCCTCCAATCGCATGTTTACTCTGCGTTTCATCTACATCATGAATCATGATACAAGACAGTGATATACTGTCTACTCCTGCTGTTTTCTCCAGCATTGATTGCCTTTTGCTATCAGACATGGCCGCATTCTAGGAATTCCAAGAAAACAGTCCTGCCGCTCATCATGTCTTCGCGACAGACCTCGCCGCGTTCTTCAGAGCGCACCCCTCTTCTTCCCCGGCCCGAAGACGACTCGGCAGCCAGTTACACTGGCCAACCTGACGATGCAGCCTCAATAGCTGGCTCCGGAGCATCGGACTTGGGGTCTGAAGAAGGCAAAAAGCGCAAGAGATGGCCAACAGTTGTTGCTTTATCTGTACTATGTCTCGCAGTGGTGGTCGCATGTTTCGGGTTCGCCCTTCCGTCGGCCGTGGAGGAATATGCCAAAGAAGGCGTCGTGTTCAATCCCACGAATATATCCATCGATTCCTTCACTTCTCTGGGAATCCGGGCTCGAGTTCAAGGTGACTTTTATCTCGACGCCTCGCGAGTCCGTCATAAACCCACCCGCGACCTGGGCAGGTTTGGAACATGGATTGCAAGAGAGGTAGAGAGCGGAGAGTCTCTTGTGAGGGTCTATTTGCCCGACTACGACAATGTCTTGGTGGGCACATTGACAATGCCTCCACTCAAACTCAACATTCGAAATCGCCATTATAACCATGTCGATATTCTAGCGGACTTGGAACCGGGCGACGTGGATGGCATCCGAAGAGTTGCCAAAGACTTTATGGATGGGAAGTTGAAGGAAATCACTGCCAGAGCCGTTGCTACAGTCCCTGTCCGGAGTGGTCTACTCAGATTGGGTGACCAGACGGTTGCGCAAATCTTGAAGTTCGAGGGCCGTGATGTCCCATCTGTTCCGGACTTTGACCTTCGAGAGGTTCGCTTTGCCGAGTACGGAATGCCAGGTCATCCGGAAGGTGTCAAGGCAATGGCTGTGGTTTCCATCCTAAACGATTTCCCTCTCAAGTTCGATGTTTCCAGTTTGAAATTTGAGGTCCTTCTTCCGGACTGCCAGAATGAATATCTACGTGTTGCGACTGCAAGGACCGATGATATACATATTCTGCCGCAGAAGAATATCACCGCAAGTATCACGGCATTGGTAAGCCAACTGCCCACGTCTCTCACCGAAGTATGTCCAAACTCGAAGATATCCCCGCTGGACAGTTTTATTGGAGATTACCTAGCAGGACGAGAAACCACCGTGTACATCCGAGGTGGTGAACAGGATGAAAATACACCTGAATGGATAGGAAAGATCTTACGGGAGACGACCATGCCTTTCTCCGTACCGGGCCATACCTTTGACAACCTGATCAAGAACTTTACGCTGGCAGATGTGCATTTCTCTCTACCTGATCCCGTATCACAAAGCTCACCGAAGCTGTCGGCGGTGGTGAAAGTCTTGGTCGGCCTGCCGCCGGACATGAATATCAACCTGGACGTAAACAAAGTCCGGGCAGACTCGGAAGTTTTCTACAAGGGGGATTTATTGGGCTCGTTGGATCTGAGCAAATGGCAGAAAGCCAATGCCACCAAGATCGAAAATGACCTTTTGGTCCAATCCATCGTCAAGGATGCGCCCTTGAAGATCAAGAACGACTCGGTTTTTGCCGGTGTGGTCCACGACCTCGTTTTCGGGAAAGGAGCCAGCTTGACGGTTCATGCTAGTGTTGATGTCGACACTTTGACTGCACTGGGCGAATTTGTCGTGCGGAAGATTCCCGCGCAGGGCAACATCTTCATAAATCCTCTCTCCGGAGGAGATTTTCAAATGCCAGAAATCAGTGGTATGGAAGTCGTCAATACTTCGAAATCCGCATTAACTCTGCAGGCCAGGGTTAATGTGACGAATCCCACCGATTACTCCGTATCGATACCTTATTGCAATGTCAGTCTCTGGGTCAACAACACTCGAGTGGGCTATGCATGGCTCTCGGCGAATGTGGTCCCCGGTCCAAACGAGATTATCGCGAATGCGGCTTGGGAAGTCGGCAAAGTGGGCGGCGAATGGTTGTCGCAGTACATTTCCGGCCATAACACGACATTGACCGTCACCAGTCACGCAGACACGATCCCCGGGTTTCCAGATCCAAAGATGAACATGACGGTGCCGACCCCGAGGATGTTCGGACATTTTCTGAAGGAGACGACGGTACGTTTTTCATGATGATCTGAATCTGGTCGCTGATGAAGCAGATGCATATTTTGTCGTCCACCGCTACATTTGTTCTGGTCTCGCCGTTTGCCATGTATATCAATAGCATTGCTGCCAACGCGTATCACAACGGCAGTGTGATCGGCACAATCGATTGGGACTATCCCTTCGCCATCGTAGCTGGAGAAAACCTAACACCCAGACTGCCCGTGGACTGGAACAGTAATGCCCTAGGAACTATTAGAGAAGCTCTTGGGGGTAGCTTGAAAGTCGATGCGAGAGCTGACGTGGGTGTCAGGATAGGTGAATGGCAGGAACAGATCTGGTACGAGGGCCATGGACTTCGAGCGAAGATTCGATTATGATAACGGATGGAAGCAGCGGATCAGAGGTAATTTGCTTGTAGCAGATCGAGGCATGTGCTAATCATCACCCCAGTTCGATCCATCAACATCCGGGAATCATGAAGTCGGGGACTGCTGATGCACGTCATTCACCGGCCAGCCTCGTCGTTTTGCTATTTAACTAGCGGAGTGTCGCTTGGTTCTTCGCCTGGGAAACACTCGGCCTTGGAGTGGCTTGAGAAAATTTCTTGATCGCGCGCGGCCAAATCTCGGATTTTTGCTGCGGCCACACTTCCGGTCACGTGGTGTCAACACAAAGCGTCGTATATATCTCCACATCGTGCCCTTTTGTTGACTGGTACGCAAAAATGCAAGGCACAATGAATAAACTCAATACTCAGCTCAAGAAAAAGGGCCTGGAAATGGTGGCCGAGTATGTCGACCCCGAATTCGGCCCTGTCTATACCATCCATGCCGTGAAAGGTGGTGTCAGCAACAATGACGTCGCATACCGGCTCTACTATGCCGGAGAAGTCACCAAATGGAGTGCCACCAGAAGGAAGGCCATTGAGAAGGCCACGAATCGGCTCAAGGCCGCCAAAGCTAAAGCCGAGAGAGAACGGTCACAGAGTGAATCAACGAGGAGCACGCCTTCGACGCGAAGCACGCCGTCGAGATCGTGAATGATTTGCATTGGTCGTGCCACAGCGATTTTTTCACAATGATATATGATCAATCACTACCAGTACGATGATCTACAACCACCGCCGGAGGCTTACCGATATGTTGTCGAAACAGGATGTGCGGCAAGATTGGTGGTTGTCGAACAATGATGTCCAGCATTACTCCAATGTTGGACTCATCGCACCTGTCACCGTCACCTACACCGGGCCCAGCTGGAGGTTGTCCGCGAGCAATCTACGCCGTCTGGCTCGTCAGGAAACGTCGAGTCCAGCCCAATTCAGTGCCTGGCACTCAGGTGCATGTCCCCGCCCATCAAACAGCACCGGCATCGCGGCAATGATCATCATCGACAATCTATGACCCCCTGACAGAGTCGAGCAACTCCAGCGACCAACGACCACCTCAGTGCCGCTCCATGCGGCAGAGAAAGGTTGCTCCTCTTCTTAGCGGCCTGATGAATGCCAGACCTATTCATTGCCCAGTCTCTTTCGGAAGGTCCTTCATCTTTGGACCGTGAAGGCACGGACCATGTTGGACGGTATCCAGGAGTGTTTGGAGACCTTTTTTGTTTCTGCTCAAGAAGCAGCAGCGCAAAACAACAGCACCTGCAACGGCTTACTATTAAGGCGATTTACGAAGGACCGTGGACCGAACCTATATAATGAGATTACGACATGCTTGTTTGCATCCTCCTTAGGGGCTAATATTTCGTTTCGGAGGTTGGGACAAACTTAATGATAGCAACTTGAATGGAATATTTCCACCGCTTGATAATATGCAGTACTGAGTACTTTGTTCCAACCATCGATTTGACCTGTCCTGTGTTGTTCGTACCTCTGGAACGGCCCGTCTTGGGGCTGCTCAAGGAGAGTTGCAGTCGGCTTCTGTTTGACATGAAGGTACCTAGTACTTAATATAGCCACATTTCTTGGGCTGATCTTGACACGTTAAAATGTAAGAGCATCAAGACGGAGGGCAAGAGGCAGACACTGAAAGGCATCGCTTGGCGCTTCGCATAGTCGAGGGTACGGCGTAGGTAGTATCGTATGTCGCAGGGCAAGAGGCAACGTATACCCTAGGTAGGTATGTGGCAGGACATTGTAATAAAGGCACCGATCGCTTCATCGCTTTTGCTTCGCACGACAGCATACCTACTACTAGTAGGATAGGTATGGGTGGTATGGAATGGAATGGCATGGCATGTGGCATGCATGATATGACGCGGTATAGTAATAAGACATGGATTGTAGTAGTACTCTATAATCCACATAATGTACCTAGGCATGTACAATGCGATGGACAGGCACAGAGGACCTTAAGAAGAGCCTTGGGAGCCCCCCCCCTTTGAACTGGAACTTCGTTCCCCGGCAAATGCCGGAGAGGACAGGTGGTTCGAGTCAGGAAAACGAGAAATGAAGTTGAAGAACCCCAACTGAGACAGATCAGTCAGTACCAAGGTAGACTCGGGGTTCCTTGGCTGTACTGTTGATCAGACAATTACTGTCCTCCCCCCAGCGGGGGCCGAGAGCTCCGGGGGACTTGGAGCTCTATTTAGTGGCCAAGGCTGAGAAAAAGTGAGGGGAGGAGGTGCCCCGGGTGGTCAAAGTATCAGGTGATGGATGGGGTCTATCCGAACCTTTGTCTCGGGCCACTGCTCTGCCTCTACTTATGTTGGAATGCCGCGGTATATAGGGAATAACAATCTTGATATTTGTATTGCATTGCACTGCTTTGCATTTCCGGCAAACTTGAACTGAACTACTCACACGGCCTGTCAGCAGTTCATCTATTCCATTGATTATATCCTTGTTTCACAATGGCGGCGTTATTGAAAGGAGTAGGCTTCATCACTGGTGCTGCATCGGGTAAGTACGGATTTGATGTTGTATCCTTTACCTTATTTGGCGAGTCGTCATGGTTTGTCTTGTTTGCCTGCCCGGCATGGCTACCATACTGTTATGTCTTGGATATCCTGTACCCCATTCATGAGGCCAGGAATGGAAAAGAAACCATGAAATCAAAAAAAGAAGAGCATCCTGCTTTACAGTACCACACACGGTACTAGCCTTGAGTGAAACCAATCTGAGTGTGTGTATTTTGTGTCAGGCATCGGTAAAGCAACAGCCTTCTCATTCGCCAAACACGGAGCCAAAGCCCTTGCGCTCGCCGACCTGAACGCCGCAGCAGTCAAAGCAGTTGGCGCCGAGATCCAGAAATCGTACCCGAAAGTCCAGGTCTTGCCGCTTGAACTCAATGTGACGGACGAAAAGGCCGTCGACGCCGCCATCAGCCAGACAGCCAGCCAGTTCGGCCGGATCGACTATGCGGTCAACAACGCCGGCATCACGGGCGTAATGGCGCATTCGGCCGACCTCGACCCTGCAGACTGGAAGAAGGTGCTGGATGTTAACTTGCATGGTGTGTGGTTGTGTGAGAGAGCAGAGATCCGGCAGATGTTGAAGCAGGAGCCGTTGGAAGCAAAGTAAGTTGCAACAACAAGGAGTGTATCAAGAATTCACTTGGTGTCTCTCCCCCTTTCTACCGCCCTCGCCTGCCAATCACCCCCGGCGCTCCCCCGTACATGCTGAGCTGATCCAATCACCACCAGCACCGTCCGATACGGCCGCGGAACCATCGTCAACATGTCGTCCATGTATGGCGTCATTGGCCCTTCGGTCAACACGCCTGCCACGGCATACTCGGCTTCCAAACATGGTGTGTTGGGCTTCACTAAGCCGGATGCTGTGGCGTATGCGAAGCAAGGGATCCGCATCAATGCCATTTGTCCAGGGTAAGTCATGCAAATCCCAGATACTCCGTCTTGCTTGTGGTGGTGGTGGTTGTGCTGCTGCCTCACCTTCAGAGTACTGTACATTCATCGACATGTGCTAATGTGGAACAAAACACAGGTACGTCGCAACCCCGCTGTTGGAAGAGGCCGTCAAGAGCGGTGCCATGGACAAGGAAATCGAGAGAACTCCCGTCGGAAGGATGGCTGTGCCCGAGGAAATCGGTGACACCATCACCTTCCTCGCCTCACCGATGAGCAGTTTCATGTACGGCGCCGGACTTGTCGTGGACGGGTAAGTTTTCTTCCTTTTCTGTTTCACAATTTGCTGTCTGTGTCTGTTCTGTGTTTGGTCGTCATCTAACCTTGACCAGAGGCTTCACTATCCAATAAATGCTTGTCTGTAACTTGGCTGAGGTCGAGAAGGGGGCCAGAATGTCTGATCAAATAAATGTGGTACAATGCGGGAGGCTGGCAGTTGGCTGGTTGAACAAGGCATCTGTGTGCAGAGCCCAGAGGGGCTCACTGCTGCCGTCCACATGCCTTTTCAGTCCACACGTGGATTTTCAGATGTTGGGCTGAATGGTTTGGCCGATGTAATCTACCAGTCTGATATATTTTTGCAGCTGAATTGGCCAGCTTCCCGTAAGAAAATGGCATCCAGACTTTGGAATTTCTGCTAGAAGCATCCGTTTTCAGGACACATGAGCCCGCACTGTTTAACAATACTTTACCTACCGGGAATAATCATTGTATGGTGGATTAGTGACTGGTAACTGGTAGAACTCCAAACAACAGAGGGTAGAACGGGGGAGTGCAGTTAGACCTGTAGGATAATAAACATATACGCTCTCCCTCGAAAAATTGTGTCCATAGATTCTCTGGTGTTACTGGATTTCATCTTGACTACCTAGCTGTTAGGTAGTAAGTATCATAAAGAATACAAGAAGTCTCGCGTTTGTACGTAGGCGGAAGACTGTTCGGGGCGCCAAGGCCAATGTCCGTCACATGACTCAGCCTCGTTGCGCATAGCATGTGATCAGCCTGGTATTCGCGAGGCTGTGAGGCTTTTTGGTCCCTAACCGACCTCCTTCTCTGTGAAAAGAGGCAAGTCATCGTCAATTGGTGCCTTGGCTCGATGACTCACTTCTCCTGAAAGCGCTGTCATCTAGCGTGCTCGCACACCGGGCGCGGTGTAGTGGCTGGCGCTATCTCCTGCTTCGAAGATCGAGACTGCCTGCGGTTTGAGCGTCGAGTCAGGAATCCGTGCCTATTGAACTCTGCCAAAGATACATCATGTACATGGAGACAGCAATGAGATGTCTGGGAGATAGGCTTTGTCTACCCATGGCATCGTTAATGGAAACGGCGTCGAGGCATGTGCCGACGAAAGCCGCACATCATCAAGCTCCTGTCTTCGGCTGGGACATGAAGTGTCCCCCGAGACGGGGCATGTAACCGTTCTATGCCGCTCATACCCTGCTGATCATTAGGGAGGTGCGACAGAAATGTGCTGGCCGTCGGTATCGACTCCAAGAAAGACGCACAACCGTAAGTCTGACTGCAGAATCTGCCGACATTTGAGTTGCAGTTGCGTTCCAGTAAGACCGACTCAACCTCAGGGTTTCGTGCATCTGATGTCGATACACCAGCCAGGACCCATGGTTGACTCCGTCAAGTTAAGAGAAGTATATCGGAGGTTGGGAAGCAAGTCCCACGTAAATCCTTGTAGAACCCAACCTAGCCTGGCTGTGTAGCCGAAATTCCATCGAGTCCCCGAAAGCGGTCGCATCAAACAGGCCATTCTGCCACGGCGGTGTTATGTTGGTCAAGGTCCATGAATACGCCGAAAGCCGCTTCCCAGTCCAGGTTCTCCGGTAGGAACATATCTCCCGAGTCCGTCCAGTGCGCAAAAGGGTCTTCTTCGACTCCCTCTTTACTGTGCCAGCCAAGGTTATCAAGGCCTGATGAGTGATCTAGTTCCGGCTCAACATCAGGCCGTGAAAAGCTCTGTTTCTGAGCTTGATCCTGATCCTGCTTGTTTGTCTCCGAAGCGTCACAAAGAACCGTGTCGTGCATGGTATCTGAATGACCATGACCACAGCCAGGCCGATACTCATAGTCCCCAAAGCGGATCATCTGGATTTTGCTGTCCACATTGAACGCAGGCATGACACCTGCCTTCCTCATTACCTCGACGACGAACGCCATGACACAGTCCGCGCCAACGTACAATTTTTTCAATATTTCCAACACGGCAAGGCAGGAATAAAGTGCTTCCAGAGCCTTGGTGATCTGTTCCGGATTGTGTGTTCGAAGCCTTCTTAGTTGAGTAATGGCGACTGGCATCTGGATTGTGATGGTTGGAGGGAACACATAGCCTACCAGACCAAGTTCAAGAAGGTCAAGATTGATTCGGGCCACTTCTAGGCTTGCTTCCTCGGTCCTGGTCATTGACAATCTTTGGTGTTCATCAAGCTGGCTCGGGTTTTGCTTCGCCATATGCCCTGAATTGATCTGGGGACGGTGCAGGGCTGACACGATACCGTAAAAAATGATATGTAGAAACGCCTGGCTCGAGGTAATACTTTTGCAGGGTTCGTTGAGATCCTCTGTTCGAGGTCTTTGGTAAATGGCCGCCGGAGTCCATTTGTCCAACCATGTCTGAAGATTTCGATCGCATATTCGCACCAAGTCGGCTTTGTACGGTCGGTGTCGCGGAAACAACATGGTTGATGTCTCGCCCCTCGGATCTCTCGTCAAGCCGCTGCGATGGTCAGGCGGAAGCAGACTAAAATGCAGATCCATCACCGTTTCAATATGCGTGCATAACTGGGCCATCTGAATGCAAATCTCGGCCAATCTGACCTGGCAGTCTCTATTCAAGACAGAATTTCGAGCATCTTCTCCTGGGAAGTCGTCGAGCTCAAAATCCCCGAGGGTCAGCATGGGGGTATTGAAATCGGAATCATTGATCCTCCGCATCCGGCACATGAACAGGGCAAGAAGTCGGTCTCTCATATAGCAACACCACCAAATTCGCTTGCGTAGTCGCGATCCTCGGTCAGGGGTGGTGTGCTGGGGCTGCCTGTGGAGATCCAGCGTGAGAGCGAGGGAAACCGCAACACCCATCCAGTGCCAGCCACCTTTATTGTCGCCTGGTGTTTCGCTCCAGAAAGTCAACAAAGTCACCGCTTGTATGATGGTAAGTCGATCGTGTTCGGCGTCAAGATCGTACAGCAGCTGGATTCTCTGTCAGTACATGCCCGATGATTGGCCTGTTGAGAAAATCCACCTACCCGTGCTCTGTCGTAGAAGACCCTTCTAGCCGTCCTTCGACAGATAAAGCCGGCCCTCTTGATTTGCTCGCTATCCACGAACGTCACGCCCGCAAACATGACAGCCTGTAACAGCAGGATACTCATCTTCGGTGTCGTGTTCGTCGGGCACTCGTTGGCGCAGTTCATCAGTGTAGGCAGGTCTAGGAGTGGCATAAGCGGGTGGAAGTACTGGACGTAGCTCTGTATGAGAGCTTTACGCAGCTCGATTGATGGAATGTCAAGTGCTCCCTTGATGCGGAGGTAGTGAATATCGTCCATCGTCAGATGTTGGGCAATTGGCTTCACACAGTCCGGTAACGGTTCGTAACCAGTATCCATCGACTTTGTGGATGGAGTCGCATGGTCGATCTCGACAGTATTATCTCTCGAGATAGGCCCAGAGCTTGTGGTATAGTGCAGAGCGTCACGGTCAATCAAGGGGGCGTAAGTGAGCTCCCTGTGAAGCTCCCCGGTATCGAATCTGTCGGTGACGGGCTCATCCATGTGGTCGAGGTAGGACTTCAGATGTACACCTGCTAAAACACTCAACACCGTGTGCCAAAGCCAACCAGACAGACTCCCAACTCACTGATATTATGGGACACGGGTTTGTCCAACTCGGCTGCCGCTGAGTCATCCTTCAAGCTGTACTGCGACAACCAACCCGTGGTATGCGTAACAGGCAGACGTTTCAGGGCAGCGCTTTTCGTCAAACGGTCAGTACCAATGTCGGCCATTGGTGACGATGGCACATGTCTCTTTTCCGCAGTCGGCGAGGGCTTCTTCGTTCCGTCTTTTGTTGGTCGCCTAATATCTACACATCAATATTTTTCATGCATAACGGCCGGATATTCCATCAACTCACCTCCCTCTTCTGCTCTTCTGCACGCGACAGACAACGTCGTCGGTGAGACAGTTCGTACAGGGAACGCCATGTTCTTCCACGTTGCATTTGACCTTGCGAGCGCGGCAGTTCAGACATGCTTTGCCAGCCCTCTTAGTGACAGCAGGCCACTGCTTGAGGAGGTCCTCCATACTAGCTCCCAAAGTGCTGGATAGGCGCGCTGGTGATGTTCATGATCACGAATTGAGAAAGCAAAAGCAACAAGGACTCATCATGATTTTGATCAAACGAAAAAAGCGGCCTGGGGAAGAGTGGTCTACCCCGTACAACAGCTTCCCCATCACCACGAGACCTGTCTGGACATCGTGGAGAGCCCGGAATGAGGGTCCCCGTTAGACTCACTTTAGTGGTGCATAGGCAGGGCCGTGCCCGATTGATCAGTCAGTCAGTGGTCCAAAGCCTGAGCCAGACCCCAAGCCCCGCGCAAGCTATTGTCTATCAAGGCCAAGGGAAACCATCGATCGGTTCCGGGGATCACTATTATTACAGTACCAGTAGCTGTGATGTGTGGCTTTGAGAACGTGTGCTGTTTGTGTCTGACACAGAAAAAGATCCAAGGACTTGGAGTCGATGTTGGACTTTATTACTACTGCTACGGTTCGAGTTGGGTCGCCCGGTCAATGTCGAAGCCTCCTTACGGTGGATGCACCAGGTCAGCTTTGCATTTTATGGTCGCCAGGATGACGGACTTGTGCTTTCTTCCCCTGCCAGCATCGTCGATGTGGATGGCGTCAATGTCCTAAATCACCGCTGGCGTGTCCGGCCAGTTTGACTTGTGCGAGCGGCAACTAAACCCAAACCCAATTTTAGGGTCCAAACTTGACTTGAAAGCCGGTAACCATGCTCATGTCACTGTCACTGAAGTGGAAGAAGCCGAGCGAGCCGCGGCGAGTATGATTGCCGAACGTTTCAGGCAAGGGTCGAGTCGAGTCGAGTCGTGAACCCCATACTCGGACTTACCCTCTGGCCGGGTCAGCCTTCTCCAGCTGGTCCACTCCTACATGGCTGACGGGGATGAAGCTGGCCAACAAACCTCTTGTCCAACGGTAATCAGCATGCGAGAGTCCCTCGATTATTACAAGTGTGGGCTATGATCGTCACTTGTACTGGTTCCTGAGCCATGCAGTGCATTCACCACTGCCCAACGGTCTACGACATTCTCAGACTGACGTGAGATTGTGCGGTGGCCTTGTTCCATCAACTGTTTGGGTAGGCTATCATACCCCGCCGGGGTATACCTGTCTCCGCTATGGAGGCTGACAGTGGATACGGCAATACAAAACCCTCCACCGAGGCTCCCCTAATCCGGGGTTGATTGACTGTATCGGGCGTGCCATCACCGTCGATCTCGAGAAGGTTTTCTTTTTAACAGGCTACAATATACCAATCTGTCTCTTTCCAAGAAATAGGACACGGCTTCGACAGGCCTAGAGAGCAACCAAGAGCAAGAATGCCTTTCCTTGCACAAGAGAGGGTGCCGATCCCCAACAAGGACATTTTGTCATGGACGTTCGACGAGCAACACTATGATCAGGACAAGCCGGTACGAACACGAGACGCTTCTGGCGACCCCTTTGCGCTACAGAATGTTGATGTATGCATGCAGGTCTATCTCGATGCTCTCGACCCGTCAAGGTCGATATCGTCCCGACAGGCACGAGGAATCATCCGAAAGCTCATCGCCGGCTTTCGTGCTGCCGGCGTCGCCAAGGGGGATTGTGTCTGCATCCACTCATTCAATGATGTGAGCCCGATGTCCCTGTGGTCCAAATGAGCCACTCTACAAACATAAACAGGTCCCGTTCTGACAGGAGACCTCACTATGGGCTTTCTAGATCTACTATTCCATGCTATTTCTGGGCATCGTTGGCGCCGGAGGAATATTCGCGGGCACAAATCCAGCATATACCCAGTACGAACTGACACACCATTACAAGACGTCGCAAACCAAATTCATCCTCGTCGAGCCGGACTTTCTGCCTGCCGTGCTGGCGAGTGCCCAGGAGTGCGGCATCCAACCGTCCAACATCTGGGTTTTTGATTACACCGACAACCAGAAAGTCCCGTCTGGATTTTCGTCGTGGAAGACATTGCTCAACCACGGTGAGGCCGACTGGGTTCGCTTCGACGATGAACAGACGTCCAAAGCCACGACGGCTGCCCGGTTGTACAGCAGCGGCACGACAGGGCTGCCCAAGGCCGCGGCCATCACGCATTACAACCTGGTTGCCCAGCACACTTTGGTCAACGAGACCCATCCACCGCCTTATGAGGTCTGTAGCCCATATCCAGATCCAGATTCAGGCCCATGTGAACATGCGTTTCCCCAACTCCCTCCCACCATGCTCCTCAAGCAATACAGCCTGCAAATCCTCTAACCTTTTATCCAATCCATCCAGATCCGCCGACTTCTCTATCTCCCCATGTTCCACGCAGCCACCGTCCCCGTCGGCCACACAACACCCCTCCGCTCCGGCCAAGTAACCTACGTGATGCGGCGATTCGAACTGGAACCGGTCCTATCCTCGATCCACAAGTACTCAATCACCGACCTGACACTGGTCCCGCCAGTCGTAGTCGCCATCTTGAAATTTCCCGGGCGGGAAAAATACTCATTGAAATCGGTAAAGATGGCCTTTTGCGGCGCCGGCTCGCTGGACAAGGAGACGCAACGCCAGATGCAAGCTCTTTTGGCCCCTGGGGCCTCACTGACTCAAGTCTGGGGCATGACCGAGACCAGCTGCGTTGCTTCCATGTTTTATTATCCCGAGCACGACGATACGGGCAGTGTTGGTCGGATGATGCCGAATTTGGATGTCAAGTAAGTAAACAGCACAGCACCAGAATAAACCAGCCCCACTCACTCTTCCTCTCATACTCATTAAGTCGCTAACACAATTTACTTCTACTCAGGCTCATCGACAACGACGACAACGACATAACAGCCTACGACGTCCGCGGCGAACTCTGCATCCGTGGTCCCACCATTATTACCAGTTATCTCGGCAACCCGGAAGCCACTGCTGCATCGTTCACAAAAGACGGCTTCTTCAAGACCGGCGACATCATGTATTGTGCCGGCGACACCAAGAAATGGTACATTGTCGACCGGAAGAAGGAACTCATCAAAGTCCGCGGGTTTCAAGTCGCTCCGGCTGAGATCGAGGGTGTGTTGTTGTCGAATCCAAATATTCTGGACGCTGCTGTCATTGGTGTTAATCCTGGTCCTGGCAGTGGCGGTACTGCTTCTTCCAAAGACAGTGATAACGCCGGTAATTCCAAAGACATCGAACTGCCTCGCGCCTACGTCGTGCGCAAGCCCGGGCTAACGGAACGCGATCTCAACGAAGAAGCCGTCAAAGCTTGGTGTAGGGAGCGTTTGGCAAAGTACAAGGAACTCGCGGGTGGAGTCAGGTTCATCGATGCCATACCGAGGAATACGGCGGGGAAGCCGTTGAAGAGGCTTCTGAGGGAAAGGGCAAAGGCGGAAGAGGAGAAGGAGACTCGTCGCCAAGGGGCAAAGTTGTAGTTGTAGACACTGGCTTGTCTAGATTGAATCGGAAATCAATATTGTTAACTGGCACTGCGGAATGGATTATCATGTCAATATCGAATCGATGTAGTAGCTATCCAGTAGTCAATAAGAGATGAACTCAACTCTGCGGCCCGGCCACCAAATAAGTCATGTTACAAATCCTGCCAGGAAGGAAGACAGGCAGAATGCCATATTAAATCCGCCAACGATGAGATGCATTGTGAGGCGTAGTACTTGAAACTGCCGTTGATAATTAATAGTCATCGCCATCAACTTATGGCAGGGCCAGCTCAGGAGCCAACTGTCGTGCGACATCCTGTTCAAACCTGAACCGTTTTCGTAGCCTAGGCCAGTGGAAACAAGACTGGAGCATCATGTGAATATGCATGTCTTTTGTCCATCTCAATGCTTGTTCGCACGTGTGCTCACAAGAGTGTGAAATACCTGAGTTGTGTAGCTAGGTATCTACAACCGTAAAGTACTGTAGATACCTGTACCTGTACCTGTACCCGGTATCCTATCTGGTATCTCATTATATCTGTCTCCTTGTTTCGCTTCGCTTCAACCAGAAAGAATATCCCAACCTTCGCAAGACTTACTCCAGTCCAATCCGATGCCATTGCGCCAATGCAAGAGACAACTATTCATTCCTCACACACGGAACGATGACCTCTGCAAGACATTATTATATCCAGCGCCCATATGATCCTCCGATCGGTCGTCATCGTAACAGCCTCTCCTACCCGGCTCTGCTGGCTGCGTACTTTCTGACAAAGGAATAGAAATAGGATACTCAGGACACCGAACATTGGTGACCAGCTCAAGACACTCTGACAGAGCCTGGGCAAAGGCGCGCTCATAGTCGGCCTTGAGGATGGTGAAGATGATTCCAGTGTCACGGTTGATGCCAACTAGTGGTCACATGACTAGCATGTGACCAACAACACGTGACATGAATGCCAAGCCCTATTACCATATGGGCTTAGCACGTACGCGTCTCCCTCGGTACTTCTACCGACCGAGCGCTCGTACCCTTCTTGATAGTCCTTCGTACTTCAATTTCATCTATTTCACGCATATTACTCTTAAGCACCGTACGGCCGTGATATCTTAAAGTACCAACCCTTTCTTACAGTACACCTCTCTATCTAGACTTAAAGGATAGAGACTGCGCTGTTTGCTATTTTAGAAAGCGCAACTTAACTAGACTTAAAGGTTAACTTACGTTGATCTAAAAATAGTATAGTTATATTCCGATCTTACGAGTAACTAGACTAGAAGATTACTCGCGTAGTTCTAGTTTTATAACTCCCCCCTTTTAAACCCTTCGTTAATAATCCCTCTTAATAGTCTAGACTAGAAGAACTATTAGGTATAACTAGTAACGGAGACCTTTATTAAACCCTTCTAGCTCTTTTCTCCTCTCTACTCTAACCTATTATAATATAATCTTCTACGAATCCTACTACGAACCCTCTTACCTTAGCCCCTCCTCTATCGACCGGATATCGACGTAGAAAAAGAGCAAGAGAAGAAACACTAGAGGAGATATCTAATCCTTAAGCTAGGCCCTCTAAGCCTTAGCCTATTCGTCGATCTTCTCGACTATTAGCGTAGGCGTAGGCGTAGGTATAGTTATAGGGTACTTAAGCGACTACTATATAAGGCTCGACGTAGACGGTAGAATTAGATAATCTATTACTATTAGTAGAATAACTAGATAATACTAAACGACCTAATAAGAATATACTCGGTTACTATAACTCGTCTATTATAGATAAACTAGGGCCCGATCCTACTATACCCCCTTCGAAACTTAAACGTTAAGCCTTACGTACTTCCCTAACCCGAGACGAAGACGACTATATACTCTTTCGCGAGCTACCTACCCCTTAAGTAGCCCGTACGGCTAATAAAGATTTTAATTTAGGGTTTCTCCTAAAATAGAAAGAGAACGATAAAGGCGAGTATAACTATAAAGAACTAAACGTCGAAGGCGAACCGGAATATACTTTCGAGTATAGAGACGAGAAAGAGTTCCTATAAGAAGTTTAGAAGTAGCCTAGTAGCGTATTTATACTAGTTCGACGCCTCGCTATACGCTACGAGAAACTACTCGATTTATACGCCGATCTCTACGCTAAATACCAAGCGAAGAAGATATTATATCTTAAATATAAGAAGACTTATAGAGACCTCGAAGACGAGATCTTTATCGCTTAAAATAAAGCAGCCGAAGCAATAGGTCTTAAGGAAAAGATTACCGAACTCGAAGAAGAAAACCGTCGACTAATTAAATATACTACTATATGAAAGGATAAGTATAGACGCCGAGATACTATAATTACTAATCTTAATAATACTATTAATAAAATAAAATTAAGCTAGCGTATACCGTTATTAGTACGATAATATAAGGAACTACGACCTATATACTCTTCTATAAGAGCTACTACACGCGTATCCTACTCTTATTAAGATCTCTATACCGAATATTAACGCTCTACGTAATATATCGATTAATAGCTACTAGTAGGATAGTAATAGCGACGGTATATCTCGGAACGTTTATCGTACTAACCTTTAGATAGACTATCTAGCGACTATAACCGCTAATCTTCTAAAAGATTATCTAGTAATCGACGAGATTATCGTTCTTCTACGCACTATACTTACTATAGTACTATAACTAGAATATCGGTCTAATCTTACTCTCTAAAGATAGTAGACCTACTAGTATTTAATAGAAAAGATAAAAGTAAGTTTAACGAATAGATAACTAAAGTAAGATATAAGCTAGTAGCGGAAATAGCCTACTATAATTCTATAGACTCTTCCTAAGCCGTTAACTATATAATCTCTAGACTTAAAGATATAGCGTTCTAAGCTATATTCCTACGAATACCCGGTAAAGGATATCCTCGGGCTTTTTAGAACGTACGAGAAGTACTAAATACCTTAAAGATATATTTCGAAGATTACTATCGAGAGTATTACGCCCGTAATTAATATAAGAAGCTAAAGAAGGGCGATAAAGAAAAGTTCGACGACTTCTATACTTAATTCTAGACTTACGTCTTCTATTTCGATAAAACTAAATAGGACTAAATCTTTAAGCTATAGGCTAAGTTAGATTATCGCCTATATCGAGAAGTAAATAATAGTATCTAGTACCGTATCGTTAGCGAACTAGTAGAAGTCTATCGCCTATAGAAAAGAATTATTAAGGCCTATAATATACGCCGTATCGGAACTTAACGAAGTAAAACGTTATTATTATTCTATATAAAAGTATTAAAGTCTAAGATATCTACCTAGTCTCGCACCTTAAATACATTAGCGTTAACCTCTCGATATTCGGAACTATTTTCTAAGAAATAGCGTTTTAGTCGAATAACCTAAGCTATAAAGAATAACCTAGTAAAGAAAAAGTTATATTTCGACTACCGAAAGTCCGACTATATAGCGGGAGACTCTAAGTACGAGGTAGCTATTTAGAAGAATTAGTATAAGCTTTACGCTATTTATATCTACGACGCTTTAGAAGATAAAGTCGGCCTATTAGCTACTAAAGAGATACCCCTTCCTAAAGCGGTAAGTAATAAAGTCTTCTCTAACTCTTCTAAGTCGGAAAACTACTAGTTCTAGATTAACTTCGCTCGGTTAATCTAGGACGCCCTAACTCGAAGCGAGATAAACCTTCTATACGCTTATCTACTATAATAGTAGATAAGTATAAATATATAACTATCGACTACTATATTAAGTCTCTTCGGCCTACCCTACGAGATAAGAAAGTAAGATACGAAACTATACTCGATATCGGAGCAACTTCTACGTTTATCAATATAAGATTTACTAAGCGTTATAGACTTTAACTTAAGCTACTTTATCGATAACGCGCTCTTAAAATAGCTAATAGTAGAAAGGGTTACCTAATCTACTTCGTAAAACTAGATCTAAGGATTAATAGATATAGGGAACGCCTTCTATATTATATAGCGCCTAAGCTAAGTTACCCCCTTATCCTTAGTCTTCTATAGATATTAAAATATAGTATTACTTCGAATTTTCGTTCTAGATCTATAACCTTCTCTCCCGAGAAATATAGTAAGTCTTATCTTATAAACCGACGACCTCTTACGGTCTTTAGTTTACGTAGATCTAATATCCGTATATCTACTACTTAAATTAATAGAATCTCTATTAAGATACTAACGTTACCCGATTTCTATTAATTAATTTAATAAGATATAGAGAGTACGATCGTATTTTAGCCCGCTAATACTATAGTAGACTATAAGGATATAATTCCCTATACCCTATATTTATTAATCTATTATGCCGTTAACCTATCCGACTTCGAAAAGTTCATAAAAGGAAAGACCGTAACCGATTCTATTAAAAAGGTACCTCTCGAGTATTATAAATATCTTTTAGTATTTTCGAAAGAAGCGTCTAAAATATTACTCTCTTATCGACCCGAACTAGATTATAAAATTAAATTAACGTATAACGATTAGGATCGATTTCCCTATAAGAAGATATACGGTATATTCTAATAGGAACTAGAAGCTATAAAGAAATATATTAATAAAATACTAGTAAAAGGTCTTATTCGACTATTATCGTTATCTATTACGTCGCCTATAATCCTAGTAAAGAAATCTAGTAGTGGACTTTAATTCTATATCGATTATCGGGCGCTTAACGCTATTACTATTAAGAATCGATATTCTATCTCGAAAATTAGGGAGATACTCGACCGTCTATATAAAGCGAAATACTATACTAAGTTCGACGTAATAGCGGCTTTTAATCGTTTAAGAATAAAAGAAGAGAATAAGTAGAAAACTATATTCGTAACGCGCTTTAGATAATTCGAGTATCTTATTATACTATTTAGACTTTATAACGCCTCGTCTTCCTTCTAGGATTATATTAATCGAGTACTATAGAATATTCTTAATAAATACTATATAGCTTACTTAGACGATATCCTTATATTTAGCGATAATTTAGAGGAATACCGATAATATATTAAAGAAGTCTTAAGGCGCTTATAGAAAGTAGATCTTTACGTTAATATTAATAAAACTAAGTTCTATACTCGAGAAGTTAAATATCTAGAAGTAATAGTTTCTATAAATAGTATTAGTATAGACCTCTCGAAAGTACTATCTATATAAGACTAGCAGGTCCCTAGAAACGTACGAGACGTTCTCTCCTTTTTAGAATTCGCTAACTTCTATCGAATATTTATAGTAGATTTTAGACGTATTATATATCTACTTACGAAACTTACTAAGAATAGAAAGAAGCTATTCGTCTAGTCCGCCGTATACTAAGCGGCTTTCGAGAAGCTTAAAGCTACTTTTACTACAGTACTAGTACTCTAATACTTCGATCTAGAGGCGGAAATATAGATTAAAGTCGACGTATTAGACCTAGTAATAGTCGATATACTATTCTAGATCGATAAGGAAAAAAGACTAAGATCCGTAGTATTCTTCTCGAAGAAGATAAGTTCTATCGAGTATAACTACGAAATATATAATAAGGAACTCCTAGTAATTATTAAAGTCTTTAAAGAATAGCGACTAGAGCTCGCGGAAATTAATCTATCTAAACCCGTAAAAGTATTATCGGATTACCGAAACCTAGAGTATTTTATAACGATAAAGCAACTTAATAGAAGATAAGCTAGATAGAGTAAGTTTCTATCTAAGTTCTACTTTTAAATTTAGTATAGACTCGGTAAGTAAGGTACTAAGTCTAATAGCTTAACTAGACGATCTAGCGATAAATCGACGAACTCTTAAGATAAACGCCTTCGATATTAATAATAGATTATCTTAAAACTATATAACTTAGGATAAGGATTAATACCACCTTCTCGCTTCTAATATATTAAGTTACTCGTAATATTTATTCTAGACGACGACTTAGAGAAGCCTATTTCTAAGTAAATTATAGACGTATACTAGAGAGACCTATTAATTAGGGAAATCCTTTAACTAATTAAGAAGAAATAAGCTAAACTACTCCTAGTAATTATATTAAGTATTCTAGAATATATATCTCTCGCCGACTACGAGGAAAAGAATAGATAACTATAGTTTAAAGGTTAACTATAGATTCCTAATAATAACGAGCTTCGCCTAGTCGTATTGCGAGTATTTTATAATATATCGGGCTTCGAATACTTCGATAGACGTAAGATCTACGTAGCTCTTAGTTAGGTCTATTACTAGCCCGGTTTAATAGAATCTATCTATCGATACGTAGATAACTACTACACTTATAAGAGAGCTAAAGCGTTTCGGAACGCTTACTCTAGAGGTCTATAATAATTAAGCGTACCCTAACGACCTTAGATAGAGATAGTAGTCGATTTTATTATAGAACTTCCTTCTAGTAAGAGTCTAATTAATACTACTATCTATATGAATATTATAGTAGTAACTAACCGACTATCTAAATAGAGATATTATATACTATACTAAAATATAGATATTGAGAGTATAGCCTTTATATTTTATAGGTACGTCTATAGTTAGTACGGTCTTTCTAATACTATTACTTCGAATAAAGGTATATAATTTACTTCTATATTCTAGAAATACTTATACGAAAGACTTAAGATTAAACGCTAACTATCCTCTATTTATTACCCTAAGATCGATAGGTAATCGAAGAACTCGAATTAGATCCTTAAGTAATATCTTCGCGCTTATTATAATTACTTATAGAATAACTAGATAGATTAGTTATCCGTAGTAGAATTCGCTACTAATACTTACGTATCGGAAACTATTAAAGTATCTTCTTTCTACGCTAACTATAAAATTATACCTAGGTTCGGTATAGAACCTCTAACAGAGCCCTCGCCGTTAATCTTTAAGATAATCGTAGACCGAACTATAGTCGATATATTTACTAACAGAATAGAGGGAATATATATATAACTTAGAGAAGAAATAATTTACGTCTAAGCGTACTACGAGAAAGCTAGTACTAAGAAAAGATATTCTTCCCCGGCCTTACGTATAGAAGATATAGTTTAGTTAAGCGCGAAGAACTTACGTACTAAATGTCCTTCTAAGAAGCTAGATATAAAGAACTTAGGACCGTTTAAGATAATCGAAGTTATTAACCTACGTACTTATCGACTAGATTTACTAATTAGTATAAAAATCTATAATATATTTTATATCTTACTA